GTTTAAAATGAATAAAACTCTCAACTCCCCTTTCAAAGTCAGATTCCCCAGTGATGTTGCGTATTCTTGCATTTTGGATGGATGTGATGGACATTCTCTTTTCCTGCACAATAGTTTTCATTGTTGGGGAGGCACACATGTTCATACTGGTGCTGATGAGTTTTAATATAAACATAAACTTGATGAAAGGAACATTTTATTAAGCTAAACACATGGGCTTTTTCTATTTGCAGGCTTTCATTTAAAGTGCTGTCACCTCCATGCTACAAATGCCAGCTAGGGGATAAATGATTTAAATTTATCGTCTGATTTTTAAATGGTATCACAACTATCTGCTGAGATGGCAAAGGGAAGCAAAAGAGGCAGGAGATCTGAAGACAGCTTACTTAAAACATCTAAGGTGCCAAATCCTTCCACAGGAAGCAAATAAAACTGTAAGGCAAAAATGCTGTAAAATTCTTTGGAGAGGTCTACCCTCTTTTATTTTGATAACTTCCTCTGCTAGGGTGCTGAGCTGCTTTGAGTTTTCTCACTAGTTGAATTTCCTCTTTTTACCTCCGTCTTTCTGGAATGCTTTGCCGTTCATAATTTTCTTCCAGCCCAGTGCAAATGTGAGGCATGCCAGATAAACATAGAGCTCCCCCCTTTAAAAGCCAGTATCCTGTTCCTAGTCTCAACTACAGAGTAGAGCCATTAATTCAATTGCTAAATAGTAAGTCAACACTGATATAAATCCTGTTGAGTCAATGGGTCTACTCTACTTGGGACAAACAGTAAGATATGTACTATGCTGAGTGCTTAGGAGGCTCTGAAATTACTCATGGGCCTGAAGATCTGCTGCCAAAGTTGGGGGAACCCACTATTGCATGGGTAAAGAGAATCTGTAAATAGCCAAGTAGAAAAAACTCATTTGTTGTAATTAATTCCTTTTCCCAATAAGATTATCTGAGACAGATTATCTAGATCCATTTCACTCTGGCTTCAGGTCTGGTTATGGGACAGAGATGGCTTTGGTCACCTTGGTAGATGACCTACGTCGGGAACTGAATAGGGGATCTGCGTCCCTGTTGGTTTTGCTGGACATCTTAGTGACTTTTGATGCTATCGACCACAATATCCTCTTGACCCTTTATGTTATTTAACACCTACATGAAATTTTGGGACCGGCAATCCAAAACACACAAAAGATTCGTTTTGGATTCTTTACCACTTTATCTTGAATTTAGGGCTGATGGTCTCCCCACTCCACACTCTGCACAGTCCAGTTCTCTTGGGGCTAATGAGTCAAAATAGAGGTGGACGAGCACATGTTTGAATGCCTCTTACAAAAAAAATCCTGAACACTAGTAACAGAAGCTCTTTCCATAAAGCCAAGTAGCATGGGAGAGAGAAAGCTAGGCTGGAATTCCTCTCCCAGCTGTGCTTCTTTTACTGCAAGTAGAGAAGCTTTAGCCATTGGAGAGAAATAAAATATATGATAAGTCACCTGTGTTCTGTAACACCGTACAGTCTCCAGAGGACTGTATTACCAGGTGCTTTCTTTCTGACATGTTCTTAGTCAGTCACATAATCAAATTTCTACACTAAATCCACTTAACTAGGCCATGATCATCATCTAGATCAGCCAGGATTTTTGGACCTCCAGTCTTTAAATAGGACTGGTATGCGCGATAAAGCCTCGTCTGACCTGTGGATGGACACTGTGAATCTACTATTACAGATTTACAAAGTAATCTACTATTACTGTCTCCCCACAGGGTTTCTGAGGATAAAACCTGGGTTTTATCACCCAGGTTTTATGCTTGCAAATATATATATTTGCAAATTCTGCTCAGAGTGCTGGCCTGCCTGTAACCCTTGCATTTATCAATAAGGATACTGCAAAAGCTTGCGGTGAAATGCTTCTAATATTGCCCAACATTATCAAGTTTCCTTGACCTCTGTTGGCCTGTGTATGAAATAGAGCTGGATCTAGTTTTGTTGGTAGATTATCTGCGCCTAGAAGTTGGCAAAGGTCAGACATCCGGCTTCATTCTTTGATCTCTTGGTAGACTTTGATCTGCGTGATCCAGAAATGTTGATGGCATTTTTTTGCTGACAGGGGCTGAAAAACATTGAAATACATTTTCAGAGGGACAGTGGGGTTAAGAAAGTGATCCAAAATATTCAGCCTTACTTTGCCAGGCTATACATATAAAGTAAATATTTAATCCATTTGTTCAGTATTTATTGGAGGAGGCTGTTGAATTAATTGGGCTTGCATTTCAAGGGATGTCTGGAATGGACACATTCTTGGTATCACTTTGCAACTTTGTGATCCAATAGTTAAAGTGTTCAGCTAGGATAGGGGATATCAGCAGAGCCCCACATTTGACTATACCATTAAGTTTACTGGTAACCAGTGACCCTCTCTCAAGGGATAAACAGACATTATAGTGACTGTGTCTCTAAGGGCTTATTGTGTGTGTCACAGTAAGAATGTCACAGCAGGATGTCTCTCACCTTTCTTAATTTGCAAACTAGCTTGGTTTGTTACTTTCCTGATAGGTCTTTAAAACTTAAGCTTGGGATTCCATTCAAGCCTACTCACTCAAAAACGGAAGTTTGCCTGAACCATGTCTCTCCATCACTAAAGTACTTTCGTGTCTTTTGACAGGTTATCCATTTCTTATCTGTGTGAGATTGTTCTGAGGATAATATGGATGGGTGGAAAATTGTGTACATGAGTCTGAGCTCCTTAAGGGAAAACATATCTAAAAGCAATTAAAAGAAGCAGTGATAGAAGACAGAGAATTATCCATTCTCCTGCAGCATTGATATTAATTGCATAAGCCTCCTCTTGCCATAGCTTCCTTTTTTTACATATGAAACAAACCATGCTCAGAAACGGTCTGCAACCTTTTTATCCCTGGCCCAAATTCTCTTCTATAAATTAGGGCAATGTAAGAATGATGATGATACCAGCATGGGATATTTTCGATAATTAAAGAGTTTTGCTTGTTCCTGCTGCTCATCTGACTCACATGTAATTAGTATTATTACATGTGAGCTGTGTGAGCCTTGGGATGGAAGAAAGAACTCTTACGGTAAATTCCTGAGAATCTTCATCTGCCAGTGACTTCATCACCTTTAACATGGATGGCAATTTAACAACCAGAATTTTTGGCTGCTTTGTTTACCATTAGCCATTCCTATTTTCAGAAGAAAAAGAAGAGGGAGACACCCACATAAGTCAGGGCATCTTCTTTGCAGTTTCTTTCTTCTCTCCCTGAATCAGGTGATTATTGTGCATTTGTTGAGAAATATTGTTGGAGAAGGGAAGGGAGATGATGAGATACCCCAGAAAGCCAAAAGTTCAAGTGAAGCAAGGATGGACAATTTCTCGGGATTTAAGCCACAATTATCTCAGACTGTTTAAAAAATGTTTGGATTATCCGAGTACAAATTATCTTGTAGCACTTTATTCTACATGAATGTCTAAGACCGCTGTTTGAATTTAAAGGACTCTGCTTTATTTCCCAGGCTTTTTGCCTGAAGCTCTGCTGCCCTCAGCTGGCAAGACTGAGCTGCAAATTATGCTGTCACTGCATGTAATTTCTTTAAAACAGACCTTGGTAGAAGGAAATTAGGCTTATTATGCCTTCAGGCCTTTCCCAATGGGAAAAAAGTGGGCAGGTCTAAATCACTGTGTAAGGCTAGAAAAACACGATTGGTCTCAGGTTGGGGGAATATGCCATCCTCACTCGTCGCTAATTATAGAAAAGGAGGAGAATATCATGGGAATTCTGGCAAAGGAGCACTAGATATTTTAATGCCTAAAGCAGCAAATCCAAAATGGCACTTATTTTATCCCACCCACATGCACTGTTCAGGATGAGGAAATGGGAACGTAGGAAGTTGCCTCATTTTGAGGCAGATCATAACTCTGTCTTGCCCCTTCCTGTCATCCCTGCCTAGCAGCAGTAGCTTTCTAAGAGTTGAGGCAGGATTCTTGCGTCAAAACCCTAGATATAGAGATCTCAGAGGGTGCTTTAAGCGCTTTGGGTAAATCTAAAGTATGTAGCAGTGAGCTTTGTTCTGCTTTGCAATTCTCTTGGAGTTCCAACTCACTAGGCCAAACTCTTTTGAGCTTCCAAAATCGGACTAGACCAGACATTTGCAGGGTGGTGCAAAACTGCAAGGAAAGGAGTAAACAGCTAGATCCAGCTTCTGTACCGCTGGGGGAGGGCATTCCCTGTACAAAACTCTCCTCTGAGTACTCCCATCTAGAAAACCAGAGGAGGGAATGCTCTTTGCTGTTTCTTCCCTCAGTTTCTTGCTCTTAGCACCAACAACAACATTGGGAGCGTCCCACAGATGCTTTGGAACAGATTAGACCTTACAGCTGCAGAGCTGGAAGGGACCTTATGGATCATTGAGTCCAGCTCTTGTCAAGGAGGCACCGTGGAGAATCAAACTCCCAACCTCTGCCTAACCCACTGAGCTATCAAGCGATTAATGGCAGGGGGATAAGAGATTAGAAGGAGTAGGTTGACCTTTGACTAAGACTGCGATCTAAGGAAGGCATTGCTTAGTTATTACTTTTAGACTCTGACTTCCCTACAACCAGTTTGGGAGCAAGACGTTTTGTGGTGTTGGGTTAGTCCTATTTTATCTTTATAATACCCTTGTGAGGTATTGTAGGTTAGGCCAAGATGGCAGTAGGGCTAGAACAAGATTGTCCTTTCCCAGTTCTGAGGCCAGTGAGAAAGGACTCAACCCCCAGCTCTGTTTGGTTTAAATCCAACATATTCACAACTATGTCACAGTGAGCATATATTTAATGAAGATTTTATCCTCTACGTTTTCTTCAGTGATCAGAGGAAGCAGTGTATCGTGGTATCACTGATTACAAGGAGGAGGGTCTACAACTCAGGCCTTCCTAGTGGTGGCACCCAGGATTTAAATCATTTGTCCTGGGGAATTATCCAACTAACCAAAATGATTTCTTTTTCCCTAAGGATACTCCTGACTACCAGAACATCCATGAACTCCTTTATTTAGATATGGTGATAGCAGAGACACTTCGCATGTATCCGCCTGCATTCAGGTTAGTAAAAACAATGGATAACTCTTTTTGGGGAATGTATTTTCGTTTATGCCATGTTTCCCCAACATGGCAGTGGTTGGATCTGCCTTTTGTGCTAGCAGAGATAAACATTTGAAGTTTATTGTTAGTTTGCTGATGAAATCTGATCTGTTCATCAACTGCTTGTGAATATGATAACAGAACATCCTGATAAACATCTGTGTATCAGAATGCATACTGTCGAATGCTATGTAGTCTTGTTTCTACTGTATTAATGGAATCCATTACATTGAAGCAGGCTACTGTAAAAAAAGATAGAAGTATTTGAATTGGAAAAAAATGGATTTATTGCAGGGTGCTAAGAATTTCTTGGATCAAGAGGGTAATCAATCAAGAAGTAGACTTTTCTAAAAGGGCGGGATAGAAATCTAATAATAAATAAAAAAATATTAAGGAAAATGTATAAAGACCAAGAAATCACAAAATACATAAATTGCAGAAAGCTAGAATACATTGACTATGCAATGAGAACAAAACATAGAAATAATTACAGTTCATCATTAAAGGATGGAGGGGAAAGCAGTGTAAATGGGACTGGCTGAACAGTCTTGGAGGCCGGGTTCTTTAGAACTGCCACCTCCAAATTCAGAATAGTCATGAGGATGTCCAGACTCTAGTAGCAGAGGAGGAAGAACATGAATCAACAGAGATGGGGGAAAAAAGCACACACACATACCCATTTAAAGTGGCAGCAAAGCAATAGCAAGGGCAAGGAGCAGTGAAGAAGAGAAGAGACATGGTTGTATTAGTGGATGTGAAAATGTTGGAACAAGGGAGAGTTTTAACCCAGCACTTAAAGGTAATTATGCCTGGGGAAGCATGACCTTTGATCAAGAGAAAGCCACAATCTTTGGGGAGTCAGGGGCACTACGGCCAGCTTCACCCAAATGAAGGCATTATTTAAGGATCTCAATGTATTGGAGAAGGCGGTCTTTCAGATAGTCTTGTCCCAGACTGTTTAGGGTTTTATAGATTGAAAAGAAAGCTGAGCCAAGATGATGCTTGTGTGGGAGTAACTGGGGTTTGTTAGACAATTGCAGGTTGGATGTGTGCCTGGAGAGATGGTAAAACAGTTGAGAGGTATGGACAAACATTTCTGAATGGAATTGTGGGCTGATTGGTTGGTTTAATTTCTGGCTGGAGAGATGCTGTTTTGTGTATACGGGTGTATGTACATAACAGAATGAGATTTGAGAGAGAAAGTGTGAGCTCTGCTATTAGTCTGGTTTTATGGAGAATTTGTGAAAAATAGTGTATTCTTATGGAACCTGTGTCAAAAAAAAGCATCCATTTATCTGTCTGCATAAAGAACTGCATGTGTTTAAACTATGAAGAAAATAAGTAATCAGGCATATGGCTGTATGATAAAGAACCAGACTGCTTGAACATAGTTTTTATAAGTTGACTGAACTTTTTTTTATTCCCTTCTGCTTTATAAAAATAAATTTCATTTCAGTTTTAAAACCCTGTTTATTATTTTTAGAGATAGTCAGCCTTTGCCTATGGCAGTGCTTGAACAGCAGTGTAAAAGGGAACACAGGCCGTATTCACAGGTTGAATAGCAACCTCCATCTTAGCGGAGGGGGTTGAGGGTGGTGTCAGCACACACACATGGTAGAAAAGAGTAGCCAAGGGCCACACTTGCCTCAAAAGTCCTTTGAAATTTAAATATGAGAAGGCATTAGAGGTCATGAAGTAAAAAAAGGTGAAAAGACCTCTTATAAAGAAAAATAGCTTAGGCTGGTCAGGGTGCAGAAGTAGCCCTTCCAGGATCCAGGAGTAGACGTCTAGGGGTTTCTCACACCAGTAATGTTCAAGAGGTAGAAAAGAATGCAACCACCAGCTGCCAGAAAGAGCTGCGATACTGTGGGTGAATTAGAGACCCACATCCTGTGTTGTCCCTTTGCCCTCTGAAAGTTAATCAGATGAGCTCGACCTCCCCCCCCCCATTTGATCAATCCTTATTACACATACCATGTTACAAAGCAAACTTTCTTCTTGACTGAGAATTTTTGCCTCAGCCCCAGTACTTTCAATTGGGCTTGAAAGGGGATGCAGTCTTTTAAGTATTGGCAATGTAGCAGATAATTTTTGCAGGTGATTTTAATCTTTTTTCAAGTTTTCATCTTTTCATCTTTTAATTTAATTTTAATCCAGATATTGTTTGTCTTTTAATATTTAACTTATTGTGTTTTTAATTGTGTGAATGTTAATGTTCTGAGCCGCTTTGGGTCCCTAGTTGGTTGAAATGTGGCAGAACAACAACAACAACAACAACAATGGTGATGATGTACAGAGTTGCTGTTCAAGAATTGTAAGGGAGAAGACACCTGAAGGTGGCCTTTTTCCTTGCACTTTTACCTTTACATTTCTCAAGTAAGCAACCTTTGTTCTCCTAGATTTACCCGGGAAGCAGCTAAAGACTGCCTGGTATTGAAACAACACATACCTTCTGGTGCTGTAATAGAAATTGCTGTTGGACACCTCCATTACAATCCAAATATCTGGCCAGAACCTGAGAAGTTTCTACCTGAGAGGTATGTGGGCTGCTGCTTTTCCTTTGCTTAAGTTAATTCAGATCAAATGCTAATGGTGAAGTGAAAGAAAGGTAGGATGGAGGTTGATTCATGACATTGTAATACAGTAATAGTTCACTTGGCAGACCTAGATTTTAACTTGAAGGTTTGTTTGTTTTTTAATTATATACGTGAATTGGGAATCTGTTGTCATTAAGCAGAGCACTTTTTTTGTCCTTAAGATACTTGGTACAACAGCTCCCATAATCCTTGTCCATTGTCAGCGTTGGTTCCCTGCCTCACTGTATGTCTCTTAATGTATTTTTCATGCTACATTTTTAATGATGCTATGTTCTGACCGAGAACTAAATCTAAATATTATAGCAACAGATCTAAATATTATAGCAACACAGTTACTGTATTTTGATATTATAGCAACATATCTAAATATTATAGCAACACAATTACTGTATTTTCTCTTGTAAGCCTGGCAAGTTCATAAGATCTTTGGGAGAACCCTTTATTACATTTGTAGACTAGTCTTCCTCCAGTCTCTCTCTCTCTCTCCCCCCCCCTTTCTAACACATTTATTATGTGTTAGTGTCTTTGGTGTAACACTTTCCTGATCCTAGATGTTCTATTATTTGTCACTGTTTTGGTTGAAAACTGACAGGAGTGGTTATACTGTGTGCTGTTTGCTTCTGGGTGCGCGCCATGTTCTCTCCAGAATCTTATGAACTATAAAGATACTCGTTTGTCACTGACCCATCCACTTCTTTCAAAAAAGATGGCCACCGCTCATGCTGCTTTTTAAATCTTCTTACCTCCCAGGTTTACAGCTCAAGCCAAGCAAGAGCGCCATCCCTTCTCTTATCTCCCCTTTGGGGCTGGCCCTCGCAGCTGCATTGGGGCAAGGCTGGCTTTGATGGAGATAAAGATAACATTTCTACGAATTCTGCAGAAGTTCAAGTTCCAGGCCTGCCCCGAGACCCAGGTTTGTACCTGCGCTGCTTCCCTGAAGACACATTTCCGTTTGGAGAGCTAGCATTTAACAAAAGAACAGTTGGTAAATAGTTTTTCAGAAAGGGGATCTGTTTAATATGTTCTCAGCACAGCTCTAGACTACACGGAATCATGAATGTTCATACGTTCCACTTTCATGGAATGCTTTTGTACTGTAAAATAGTTAGGAGGCAAGTTCTGAACATTTGCTATCGATTTACTATACATTTTAGGAATGGAGAACATCATCTAGGGAATGACTCTTATCTACCCTTAATGGAGGATGATGCTCAAGCCTACCAGCCTATGCTTTTCCCTAAACTAACTGAGAGTGGAGGCAGATTACACCCAACAAATGCCATATGGCTCCAAGTGGCAAAGGAAGATTGGTTGTGAGCCAGTCTTTCCACCATTAGTGATCTTCCAGTATGACAGGGGTGAGTAATATGCTCCCCCAAAAGGATCAGGTATGTCCCCAGCATCCCCATATCCCCAAAATTAGTGGTTCAAAAATCGTTTCCTTATTCTCAAGAGTTTCATAATCACTGTTCTAGTCCCCTCAAAGCTCATACAAACATTAAACCCAGAAGGGAGAGATGGAGAGTTTGTATTCCTCTAGCTATTAGGTGCTACACAGGACTCTTGAGAGGTTAATTATTTATCTTTCTGTGTATTCTTATTTCTTTCTCCAGATTCCTTTACAGCTGAAATGTCAAGGTACCCTTGGACCAATAAATGGAGTCTACATTAAGATTGTTTCTCGATAGAGCAACCTGCCCATCTCTGTGCCTTCCAAAAAGACCATAGCCTACGGTCTTCTGCATTACTACTGAGCTGCAAATATATGCTGGAACAAGCTTTCTTTTCCTCTCTACCTGCACTCCTTGATTAATGTTGTGGTCTTGATAGAGCATTTCATCATACTATCTACCAGCAAAAGCACAGCTTTTCTAGTACCTGCATTTTGGGGGAGAGTTTACATTAAGTCAATGGCATTTATATCTAAGCTAGGGATGGGCAACAAGGAGGCCTATATGTGTCCCCTGCCTCTTTCGGTAGGTGCTGCCATCCCAAACTGGCAGCATAGTAGCGATAAATAAAAACGGTACTCTTTTAGATTAAAAGAAGATACACAGCGAGAATACAAGATGCACAGTTCTTTAAAACCAGGTGCATGTTCATCTTAACTTGGAAATGCCCTTTCTTGTTCTAGTGCTACAGTGCAAAATTCAGCAACAGAAGGGGCAGTCCCAGTGTGGGTGTTGTGGGGAGAATAGGATTAGCTTGCCCATGGAGCAAACCAACATCCTTATTCTTTCTCCTTCAAATCATATCAAAGGTGCCTTTTCCTCCAGAGGGAGATTAAGAAGTGCTTTTATTCAAATTTGCACATCCGGTCCTACCCTCTTCTACATCTCTGCTGCATGACACAGTGTTTGTCCGCACAAAAAATCCTATTCTCCTGTCAGTTTTCTGTATCTCCATATCACTGAGAAGACAGAAATTTTTTGCTTTGTGTTGCTTCTGCAGCTATCACTGTAGAAAGAGGAGTTAGGGAATTAAGACAAGTGACCTCATTTAAGATGGTACTTATGAACAGAAATGAGTTTGGAGGTTCATGCCAGTTCATAAACGTGGCACCACAGATGTTGTGAATTCCCTTCCTCCACCTCCCCAGCTGGATTCCCACATTCACCAGCCGCCATGCGCTCCTTTCCTCCTCCTCCTCAGCTGTTCAGTCCCTGGCAGGAGCATGGGCTTCCTTGCCCTTCATCCTTGGGTTGATTGCCCACTCCGAAAAGGAGATGGGGCAGACAAGCCTGTGTTCCTGCCAAGGACAGGTTGAACAGGCAAGGAGGAGAGAAGTGTGCTTTGGCTAGTAAGTAGGGCATTGGTCGGAGAAGCAGGGGAAGGGATGAACCTCCAAATTGTCTCTTATTTGTGAGCATAGCTGGTTGTAAACTCGACTAGGATTTAGAATGCATTTCAAGACTCATTTAGAAATTCGTAGGAACATTGGGAAATGCTGTTATATTGAGTAAAATCTCTTGGCTGTATATTTTTTTTTAAAGCTAAGTCATCTTAGGTTAAAAGGAAAAAAGGAAAAAAAATATCCCCCTCTAGTGGCAGAAGGCGGAATAGCAGCTTCCCAATAGTTTCTATGGACGAAAAGAGCAGATACGGATTAAATGGTTTTGAATGCATTCCTATGGGAAATGCAGATTCGACTTAAGAACTTTTCGACCTGAGAACTGCCTTCCAATACGGATTAAGTTCATAAGTCGAGACCCCACTGTATATACTTTGAAAGCATAAACTTTCTGGGGTGTTTTGGGACAAATTCATAGTCTCCTTCCCCTTTTTTGGGGGGTAGTGGTGGTGATTCTGCCCATCTCTAAGGTATTGCTTCTCGCTTAGGGTGCCAACATTGGTAGCTGCAGCTCCATTTCCCATCCAAGTGATAATCAAACCTGATCCTGCTGAACCGCCACATGAGATCAGTGTGTTCAGGCTGGTGACAATCGTCAGTGATCCAGTTCAAAGAAATGCATGAGAATGGCAGCATGCTATCTCCACTCTTTCTGCTTCCACTTTCAATATGCAAACTTGCCGTCTGAAGAGGACGGCCCCATCTGTGCACAGAGGACATGTGCTTGGGACCTCTGAAATACCATGGATTTTAATTGCATGGAAAGACAGCATGCATAGGAGATCTTCATGTTGTCACTGTGTTTGAGGACAGGGATGACTTGAAGGGGCAAGGTGTAACATGCTCACCTCTAGGGTGCCAACATTGGTAGCTGCAGCTCCGTTTCCCATCCAAGTGATAACCAAACCTGATCCTGCTGAACTGCCACATGAGATCAGTGTGTGTTCAGGCTGGTGACAATGGTCAGTGATCCAGTTCAAAGAAATGCATGAGAATGGCAGCATGCTATCTCCACTCTTTCTGCTTCCACTTTCAATATGCAAACTTGCCGTCTGAAGAGGACGGCCCCATCTGTGCACAGAGGACATGTGCTTGGGACCTCTGAAATACCATGGATTTTAATTGCATGGAAAGACAGCATGCATAGGAGATCTTCATGTTGTCACTGTGTTTGAGGACAGGGATGACTTGAAGGGGCAAGGCGTAACATGCTCACCTCTGCATGTATTTACTTCCAGTGGATAACTGAACATTACTCCTTTTTTGTTGTTGCCTTCTACCCAGTCAGAACAGTGGTTCACCTACCTAGTTCTGTGGCCAGTATTTATGAAAATGGAGTTCCAACTGAGGAAGCTACCACCGAGAACAATCTGTTTACACACAACCAGCACCTTGTCAGATTGCCACTGCACCTTCCGCAGCTGGAGCTCTTCTTGCCTGTAATTTTCAAACTAAATACAGTAGTGGCCAGTGTCTAGTGCAGCTAGGGAGAGGCAGAAGTCTTCTTCTAGCTGGTGATGTCTGGGACAGAGACTTGGATTTTGTGTGTAACGTGTGCACTGCCATTGAACTCTAGACTTTCTTCAGTGACAAACAGCTCACCTAGACTGAAATCCAGGAAATCAAGGCAGTAAAAAAACCAGGATTTTTGTTTTAATGATTTGTTGTTGTTTAGTCGTTAAGTCATGTTCGACTCTTTGTAACCCCATGGATCCGAGCATGCCAGGCCCTCCTGTCTTCCACTGCCCCCCTGGAGTTGGGTCAAATTCATGTTGGTCGCTTCAGTGACACTGTCCAACCATCTCATCATCTGTCATCCCCTTCTCCTCCTCTAATGATTACAGAAACCTAAATAGCGGGAATGGAACAGATATAACTGAATAAGCCACATTTGCTTGGCCATGTCTTCCCTCTTTATAGTTAAGGAAGGAGAAATCTGCAGTTTACATCCAAAGAAGTATATAGGTGAAGGAGGTGATTCTTTTCAAACCCAACCTCAACCCATTCTACTTCAGACAAAACAGAGCTGGAAAGTGTTCAGGATTTATATTATTTGTTACAGTTTACTCAATATCAGAGCCCATCTGATGCTTACATAAAGAGTCCTGATAATTGCTGGAAAGCAAATGTGCAGATCTGTTGCTGTGATTGAATGTTATAATGAATTATACCAATGAAGCGAAGAATTTTTATTTTGTCTCAGCTGGAAGCTGTGCTTTCTAAAAGCTGTGCTTGGTGGATGACTAAAACAGTGCTTTTCTTGGAGAACAAACATATTAAAATGCTATTATTGATTACCAAATGCGAGTACCAGCTTTTCTTTTTTCACTGTTTAATCCACACACATTTTTTTACATTTACAAAATAGTATTATTTTGGACAGCTGTTCGTTTCTAGGCCTTCTGGTGAGACCCGTGGCTCTGATTGTATCTCTGTTCCATCTACGTTATCCCCATGCTTCAGGTGGACGTACAAGCCCTCCCTGACTGAAAGGAGTGAGCACTGTCTTTCCCAAGGCTTCTGTTGCTGACGTTCCACAGGTTACATCGTATTTCTCCTTTTGTACTAACCTGAGTTGGGTAGGTACAGCCTGAGAGCACAAGAGAATCTTCTCTTTTAAGACCTGCCCTTAGTTATATATGAGGCAGATGACATTTCCTACATGCACAGCCATGTTCGCTAGAGCCAGGAACCAATAAAAATAGTTGGTATTCTTGACAGAGTATATTCTATGTAAAATATAATGGCATGCCACTTCTGAAAGATACATACCAGTAGATTCCAAAGCAACCGATTTATGATTTGAAGAGGATAATTACTTGATAGTTAACATCTTATTGCTATTCTCAGTTAAAACTACACAAAATTAACCAACTGCTTGGGTAGGTACAGCCTGAGAGCACAAGAGGATCTTCTCTTTTAAGACCTGCCCTTACAGTTTTATAAGAGGCAGATGACATTTCCTACATTCACAACCATGTTTGCCAGGAACCAATAAAAATAGTTGGTATTCTTGACAGAGTATATTCTATGTAAAATATAATGGCATGCCACTTCTGAAAGATACATACCAGTAGACTCCAAAGCAACCGACTTGTGGTTTGAAGAGGATACTTACTTGATAGTTAACATTTTATTGCTATTCTCAGTTAAAACTACACAAAATTAACCAACTGCTGAAGAATAAACCAAGACTTCTGTAAATCCCACTGAACCAATGGATTTGCTTTTCTGGGGGATAGCGTAGTCTCCTTGATAGGGGCTGGATTTGATCCATAGGGTCCCTTCCAGCAATGCAGTCCTAAGACTGTTGTTCTCGTTAAGATACTGACTCCTATCTTGCCTTCCTTTGCTATGTGACTTCATTTTTTGGAAAGGAGATTGCCCATCTTTGCAGCCTACCTGAAACCCACTCTCAAATTGAACTTACTTACACACACTTACACACAAACACTTACACACACACATAGTGCAAGCTAGATCTGTTACTTTTTCTTCCAAATTTGAACTTCATTTTGTTGCACCAAACTGCATGCAATTATGTGTAATGAAAATGCTACAGGTACCACAAATAGCATCCTAGTGGACAGACATTATTTATCTTGGCATGCACATCTGCCTTAGGCCCAAAAATTCCTGTTCCAGTGAAGGCGATCCACGCGCAGCTTCTGAACGTGGCTTTCCCTTTCTGAATTGGGGAAGTGTAGATCTTCTCACTTTCTAAGGAAGCCACTGGATCCTCTTTCCAAAATTTCCTTTTCAAGAAAAAAACTTTTCCAATCTATCCATAGGCTTGCTATTTTGTTATGTGCTGTTAAGTCACTTTTGACTAATGATGGCCCTAATAGTGTTTTCAAGGTCCCTGAGACATTCAAAGAACAGTTTTACCGCACAGACTGTGGGTTTCCATAGGTAAGCAGGGCTTCAAACCCAGGTATCCTGAGTCCTGGTCTGACACCCTCTCTACTACAGCACTGGATCTCACCAGCTCCAATACTTGTATTTAATTCCCATCAGCACACAGTTACTTATCCCTGCAGCGCTAACAGTATGAGTTTTACCCACATCCCACATACAATAATCTCCAGACACCAAAAAAATATTAAGGGGAAACCATTGCCAACAACCAACCAGGAAACAGGTGCAATGTTGTTAGAAAACATACCAAAAAAAGCCTTGTATCTTCTCATCTTTAATTGGCATTTAAGAAAGGCAAATACATTTTTAGGAAAAAAATGAACAGCTTATAGTTTCAACTTGAGTCTCACAACTGCTATTAACACAGCCATACATAGTTACTGTTATCTGGGGGGGGGGGGCTAAATACTTTCACTCAACAAACTGCAACCGTACATTTGTCCTGTGCACCCACTTTAAAAATGTTTCCAAAATGGATTTTACCCACCAGATTGTTCATTTTGTTGGTGACAACAGCGATAAGACGTGTTAGGAGAACTGTATGAGCAATAAGTGGAAACTCCGAAAAGTACACATGGTGTAAGAGAGGAAGGAATCAAGAGCTGTAAAACTAAAATAAAGGGCAGACATTTACAAAACCTACACCTGATTCAGTTGTCCTGCTGAAGGAAAACAACAGATGCTCCCAAGAACCCTGAAGTTGCAGCTAATCCAGCCATACTTACAAACAGCTGCCTCAGGAAAGAAAATTAATGCTGGCCCCAGATGTAACAACAATTCATGCTGAGCTTAAGATACACAACAACAGGACTGGACTGCCCTGTTGGATTGTACTTAAGGCCTTTTGTGCCTGAGGTTTTTTTGGGGTTTTTTTAGGAAGAGGAGATAAATAAGAATCTATAACAAGGCATTTTCAAATATAGAAAAGATTTGTCCACTTGAGTGAACTTTAATCCTAAAATACTACTGATTTCAATAAAGCAGAGATACCAGCAGATGAAGGAATCTTGGCCGTGAAGCAGTTAGCTGGGGGGAAAAGCTAAAAATTATCCAAAAGTATGTTGGCAACCTCTCAAGATACAAGCCAATTTGTAATTCAGCTAAAGCAGTGGCTTTTTAAAGGATATGTTACGTGAGCTGTTACTAGAATTTAAAAAAACACACTTGATAAATTCATAATAGTCACGTGAATAACTGATTAGAATCTGAATGCAGTAACACTGAAGAAAAGAGCACTCTTTTTTTGGATGACACATAGGAGTATCACAGCAGGGACCACCTCAAAAAAACTCGACCCCTGTGAAAGAGGAACAGTAGCTTTTCTCAGAAGACATTCATCTCCAGCAGATTTGATCATTTATCAGGATGAAAAATTACGGTATCTGTATCTATGTATGTATGCATGATCGTACATCTGCACAATATCAAAATATTTCTAAAATCAGTTAATCACAGCAGCCCTCATAGAAAATGACTCTGCATTATTTAGTCTTCCAGAGAGTAGCCCACAAGTCAGAGAGAAGTAAGTGATAATGTGTGTTATGCAGGTGAACACTACCTACCGTATTTTTCGCTCCATAAGACGCACCTTTCCATAAGACGCACCAATTTTTTAGGAGAAGAAAACAGGAAAATATAATCTGTTTTCTTTGCTCCATAAGACGCACAGACTTTCCACCCCCCTGTTTTGTGGGGAAAAAAGTGTGTCTTATGGTGCAAAAAATACGGTATTTCTTGTAGAGTGGACCCTCTACTTACAGAATTAATCCGTATTGGAACGGTGGCTGCAGGTCGAAAAGTCTGTAGGTCGAGTCTCCATTGCCCTACAATGCATTCAAAACTGATTAATCCTGTAACCAGCTGTTTTTTTTTTTCATTTTTTTTCCATTTTGGTTTTTTTCTGGTCTGTAAGTCGATTCTCTGGCTGCAAGTCGAACCTAAATTTTGGGGCCAGAGGAGTTTGCAATTAGAAAACTCTGTAAGTCGAGCCGTCTGTAAGTCGAGGGTCCACTGTATTCTATCAAGTATTCAGGGTAAATCTGGTGTTTCTCAAAGATGACAAAGATGGATGGATTCTTGAGATCATTCACACAACTGTTATAGAAGGCAGTGTTCTTGCTATCTTTGGCCGGAGGGCGGAGATAGGAAGATGAACCACAGGTAAACTCTCCCACCAAAACTTTGGCCAAAAACATGGTCTTAATGGTAGAATCGCTTTTGCTGTAGTTATCAGAATATGAGGCATCTCTTGCAAAGTAACTTCCTAAAAAAAAGAGAGGGGGGAGAGGCAGGAAGAGACATAAAAGAAAAAGGGAGGTTGTTTACTGAAACTCAAGTTGATAAACAAATTTGGTATCACCGAAACTTTCAACAGACACTTTGAGAAAAACATCTCACAAGTTTCCAAGTAGTCTACAATATCTTAATAAGATCCTGCTAATGCAAAACACTGAGTTTTTATTCAAATCTTATTGTGATATTAAGCATCATACCAATTACTGTAAAGCCAAAATAACAGAATTTTAAAATTCTTTGTCTCAAACCAAATGTGCAAACACAAAGGCTTCATGGTCTGTCTGCTGCAAACTCTATTCTTAGAGCAGACTTTTTGGTTTTTGTTGTTTAGTCGTTCAGTCGTGTCCGACTCTTCGTGACCCCATGGACCAGAGCACACCAGGCCCTCCTGTCTTCCACTGCCTCCCAGAGTTGTGTCAGATTCATGTTGGTAGCTTCAATGACACTGCCTAACCATCTCATCCTCTTTTGTCCCCTTCTCCTCTTGCCTTCACAGTTTCCCAACATCAGCGGCTTTTCTGGGGAGACTCTGGGGAGTCTTCTCTTCTCATGAGAAGTCTTTTTGGTAAATCCCATCTATATTACTAATCTTGAATATTCACAATCTTGAAATACTGGATAATCCTGTGGGCCTCCCCAGTTGTATCAAGACCACATAAATGATGTAGAAGTGAGTCAGCTTCAGGCAACAGTATATCCAGTTCAATGACATATATAAGAAAAAGTGCGAATTACAAAACAGAATTTTTACCTTTGCCATAAGCTGTACCGTGAACACCACAGATTCTCCAGTCAAAGTTCTGCTGGCAAATTGCGTCGACATGGCTCTTGCTCGTCCCATGAAACAACTGTCTTTCGTCCACATCCTTTCCTCCATTTGCTTTCTTCATTTGTTCTTTCTGCCTATAAAGAAGAGTGTCAAACCTTCCCTAAGGCAAAATCAAGCTAGGAGTGGGCAAAGGAGTCTCATGAGAGCCCTCCATCACTACTGGTCACAAGATGTCTTAGTGAAGGCTTTTTCCAACTAGCATTACGTTGAAAATCACACTGTGCTCAATAAGGAAGCTGGTTTCTTCTGTGATGGTCCCTGTCCTTGGGAACTCTCTCCCACAGCAGATTCAGTAGGTACAGTCTTCTCTTTAATTTAGAGTATGGGACATAACTTACTTTTCCTTTCTGTACTATTAGCAGTGAAACTATGGCTGGTTTGCATTTTTGGTGTGTCGTCCCCCCTTTTCTTGTTACTGCTTTGCCTATTCTATGCTTTGCCTTCCTGCTTGTTTTATAACCTTTTCCTTTTCGCTGTTGGGTGGGAACTGTTTGAGGTTTTAACTCTAGCTTTACTTTTAATTTTGTTTGCAACCCTGCATTTGTTTTCCTGTTCTTTCCATTTGTTTACTGTTCTTTCTCTTTTTTCTACACTGCCTAGGGGCCATGTTTGAGTTAAATGTTCTGTACAAATAGTTTAATAAATAAATAAAAAGAGCCTGCAGTGCAAACCATTACAGAAGCCATTACAGCAGAACGATTGCTCATAAATACAGTGTGCATACAAGAACACAAACACATTTTTGCTAAGTCATCCTTGGGATGTGATGCAAGATGCCACTTTCAAAATGAATGAGACTGGCCACAGAACAACAGGAGGGTGGTGGGTGAGAGAAAATCCATGCTGCAGGAAGCATCATTTCCTAAACTTTGTCAACTTTGCACCAGCTAAGGTAAATGTTTGGCAAAACACTGAGTGGGGGATATAACTTTAAAAGACAAGTGAGATAACTGTGTGTATCTTTTTACATATTAAAAACACCCTTGAGGGCGCAAATTAGGTGAATCCCTCTGTGGCAAAGGAACAGATGGCAGAAAGGAAAGACTAAAAAAACCCAAAGGGTTTACATTGTTAGTCCTGCAGCTTTGCGGCTCCAATCCCACCCAAACCATGTGATTGATTTCTTATTTGTTATACTTACATATTGTTTTTCCACCAATAAACTCAAGACAACATACATGGCTGATCTCGCCCCAACATTATCTTCCTAACAACTCTGTGAAGTACGTCATTTGAAGATGGTGTCACTGACCCAGGTCAGGCTAGTGAACTTCATGCCTGAGTGGGATTTGAACCCAAGCCTCCTGAGTCCAACGTTTTAACTATTATAACCATAGTGGCACAAAAAGGGCTCTCCCAGCCTCTTGTCTTATATATACTCATTATATTACATTTCCTGAAAATCTATACTAAAATCACAGAACAGAAGACTTCAAATCTTTTTAACCTAGCACACAGTAATATCTTCAGAATTCTTACTAGGCAGGAGGAAATCTGGAATATTTCAGAGAAACGAATCATGCCAAAGTATTACTATAATACTGCACATACCATTGATACACCTCCCAGAGAGCCACATTCTGGATTCTTTTGATTGACACAATTGTTGCTTTGGGCAATGTACGCAGAAAGTTAATCTGGACCATTTTATACTCCTTAGAAGATGGAAGAACAGTGATCAGCTACAAAGGAAAAAAAAAAATACAAAATGCAACTCAGAAATGGCAGCAATATTTATCTGTGCTACAAAAGGTCATTCAAATATTTTAATTTATGAACAACAGTTAATAGAAAGAAGCAGGAAAGTTTCCTTAAGTATCTACTGGAGGCAGCAACAGAGAGGAGAAAAAGAAATTCAGTCATACTATTAAAATGTAGAACTGTGTCTTGTGTCACAGATGTAACTTCTGGAAACATTTCCAAAGAGATCAACAGTCTATTTTTAACCAACAACAATAACAGATAATGAATTGGTCTTTAAAGAATGAAAGAATTAAGTTAAAACAGAAGAGTCTCTTCCTGAAGGAATTCTCTGGGCTACCAGAGGTTCTGGAAGGCAGGCTGCCCAATCTCACGGAGATAGTCCTTGTGGAAAGATTACAGTGGTGCCTCGCTAGATGATGATAATCTGTTCCACTGAAATCGCTGTTTAGTGAAATCATCGTCTAGCGAAAAGCATTTCCCCATTGGAATGCATTGAAACCTGTTTAATGCGTTCCAATGGGGAAGAATCATCGTTGTCTAGTGAAGATCGGCCATAGAAAAGACACTTTGCAACCCGCTGATCAGCTGTTTAAATAGCTGTCTTGCAAAGTTTAGGTCCCAAAAACACCCATTTTGCAAGCACGGAGGGAGCTGTCAAAATCGTTGTCTAGCGAAAATTGGTTTGCAAAGCACGGACAAAACGTTGTCCAGCGAAATTCTCATAGGAATCACTGTTTTGCGAATCACTACAGCGATTGCAAAAAGTCAGCGTCTAACAAAAAAACTGTCATGTGGGGTAACTGTCTAGCAAGGAACCACTGTATTCTCCACTTCAATTTTGGCTCTCCCTATGTCAACTGAGTGGATAGCTCAGTCGTTTAGATATCTGGCTGTGGAGCAAAAAGGTTGGGAGTTTGATTCCCCACTGGGAAAAGAACAAGTCTGTGTGGCGCTGGGCAGGCTGCACAGTCCGAGGATGCTAGGGAAGGGTCAACCACTTCTAAGTATTCTCTACCTGGAAAAACCTTAAAAGGATCGCTGCAAGTCAGAATTGACCTGATGACACATGAGGATGATTATTATGAATGCATAATGAGAGTTGCAATGCGACAATATTATAAAGAGAACTTGAGCACACAGACGTGCATGTCAACGCATCCTACCTTAAATCCCAGATCTGGCAAGGCAGATCGGTCCCAGTGGCCTGGAATATGTGTTGAGCTTCCTTTCGACTGTTCAGCTCCTCTTTGTAATTAGAAAAGATCATACAGCGGCTAAGCAACGTTTATGTACAGGGTTTAGAAAAAGTAACTTTTCACTGATAGATCATTGTGTGAAGTGAGTATACTTTTAGAATATCCATGTTAAATTTAATGGGATTCAAGGCTCCTACTAGGCAAAATGACTTTAACTGGATGCACATGGAAGTATTCCTATATATGAGTGAGTATTTTGTCTTGCCCGTTATCTACAATGCTAATACTAACATATTAAAATTGTTGACAGTCCTTAAAATGTAACTGTTATAGGAGAATTACTACCTAGTTGCTTTCTAAATTTATTTGAACTTCTAAATGAAAATATACTTTCAAATTAAGGATGGCCAACAAGAAACTTACACAAGGAGAAACACTATTCAAGGACAATACTGCTGCTGTTAAACAGCTTGAAATAATACATTTTAAGGACAATTATTGAAAATTTGGTGTGTGTGTTAATTTCAGAGCAAAATGAAAAAAAATGGGCTGAATTGGGGTATTTATGGATCGAGAAACCACTCTTCTTCCTGGAGTAAAGCAGTACCACAATACGTGCTTTGTATATCATTTGGTATTTCTGGAGTTTTTTAAAAGGTGGTAAATGAACTGAAGGGAGAAAAGGGCTAATTGAAATGAATACATGAGAGAGAGCCTCTGCCACCAAGGGAGAAGGTGAGTAGGCTGCTGAACATCCAATAAAGCCTCAAATCTTTCTTGAATATGTTGACCACTAAAATGTTCTGGATGGCTCAGACTAATAATATTTATTTATATCCTGCTGTAGATGCTCCACCAGTTAGCTCATGGAGAAGGACCTGCATCATTCTTCAGATAGCTTTTTGCATTCTGTAATATTATTTTTCTTTGTTCTCTTACTTATCTTACTTCACTAACCTTTACAATTCGACTACAGTGGAACCTCGACTTACAAACATCCCTACTTGCGAACAATTTGAGTTATGAAAGGCTCCGGGCGTGAAAAGTTGCTTCGACTTGCGAATGGAGCCTTGACTTACGAACCGAAAAAGAAGAAGAAAAAACTTTCCTGCCCTTTTTTTAACCTAAGTTCATCTTAGGTCAAAAGAAGAAGAAGAAAATCACCCCTAGTGGTAGAGTACAGATTAACCAGCTTTGCATTACTTCCTATGGGAACTAATGCCTCTACCTACGAACAGCGCCTTGACATACGAATGGAAAACGGCAGGTACAGATTAAATGGTTTTCAATGCATTCCTATGGAAAAGTTTGCCTTGACTTACGAGCTTTTTGACGTACAAACGCCGTTCCAATACGGATTAAGTTCCTAAGTTAAGGTACCATTGTATTAGGACTGAGTGTGTGTGACTGTGGAAGGATAACCATTGTATGGGCAGTCAGTAGATAGGTCACCCAATTAGAGCAGTGTATCCTTCTGAGGTTATAGTCACTTCCGTTGTGGGATCTACAGTGGAATGCACTGCTGGCAAGGGGAAGCAATACATTCAGAGTATGCATGATGGCATGACAGCAAGGTGGTGCTTTGCTTTCCCCTTCAGGTGGGGGCGAATTTGAGCCAATCCTGTTGATCTCCAACCATTAAAGCTGCTACTAATTCAGATGATAGCAATTCCACTCCTATTCCAGAATCCCAAGGCAAAGAAGGGTACGGTTGTGCTGTAAGGACTGCAGTAACTCATTTCTAACAGATTTTACTGCTAGATAGCTGGGTGGTTTAGACATCTGTCTATGCAGCCAGAGGTTGGGAGTTCGGTTCCCCACTGTGCCTCACTGACAGGAACTGGACTTGATGATCTATAAGGTCCCTTCCAGCTTTGCAGGTCTAAGATTCTTTTCTTGATAAACATTTGCACACCCATCACCCACCTGGATTTCTTCTTCGCAACTTCTTTCAGAGACACAAATTTAGGTCGCCGACAAACACTTCGTTCGGTCTTGTAACGCAAGTTTTTTTGTTTCATGGCTGACAGAGGGACAACAATCAGAAGAATGGAGTTTATGGTTTTACAAATAGTGGTCCTTTAAACTGAACACATTAGAGGTGCTAGGTCTCCTTTCCTTCTCATCTGGATAATAATGATTTGGTTCTATACTTCAAAGTCAGGATGAGAAGTAAAGCTAAACTTATAGTGAATTCTTTGCTGTTACACTTTCTCAACCAGTCTCTAGGAAATTCTGGCTGTAGCTCATTTTATTCAGAAAGATGTGCATTAGCATGAGACAAGAGAAGAGCTGAACGGAGTGGATGTGGGGCAAAACAGAAATAGACAGAAGACCTTTAGATGTGTAAACCAGAGGTACTCTGCTCCTGATCTTGAAGGATGCTCTCCACTCCCTTCTACATCCTTAAGGAAGATAACCTAACACATAGAAAAATCAGTACCTAACAAGCAGGATGGGAAGAATATTTGCTAAATTCCTCATTCTTGCACATTCAGACTGTCTTGATAAAACAAGGTACTATGCAGCGGAATCTTCAGATCTGCAGGATGCCGCACTTTGTTCCTCACAATTTTTCATAAAATGTCTCTGTGCAAAATAAACATTCTTCTTCTTTGAGAAGCAAGTACACACAGAGAAAACAAACACAAAACAGCTGGGTGATACTTCAAAAAGATGCAATTAACCCAGTCTGTGCTTCCTAGAAGTCCAGAAAATAAAGCAGCAGCTATTGTAGGTGAGGTGGGGGGGGGGGAGGAGGAAACCCTGTGGCCTATCATTCTTGCACATGATGAACTAAATGATGATTTATCTCTCTCCTCTAAGCAGTCCAAAGTGACTCCTTCTCATTGTTTTCACTCATTTGAGTAACAGTGAATCTATTTTAACCAACATCTAGTTGTAACACATTCACAGGTAGCAAGCTGTTGCATTATACCAAGCTAGACAAACCATATGATCTAGCCTGGTATAATGTACCGATAAAAATTGGTGTTGCTTGGGCATACCCATTTGAATCAAATTCAAGAATGCACCTTTAAAGTCAATCTCATATTCATGTCTCCCAGCTGAGAACTTGAGTGTCTGAGATGCATCGTACTGATAAGCTTTCTCCAAGTCAAAACTGGATAATGTAGCAGAAGCATGATCCACATCCTGTTAACACAGAACCAAACAAGAAGGGTTCACTCATCTCTTTTAAAAAGGAACACATTTAAAACATTTAAAACATTTAAAACATTTATTTATATA